AAAGGTGACCCAACAGAATGTGGAAATCATTTAACAGTATCATTAATGTTGCATGCAAGTAGAATTCTGCTGAAGATAATTTAAAAATGGTTGTACCAGTACATCCACAGGGAGCTGTCAAAAATTCACGATGCATTCAGATTAGAACATGAAATGAGGGATATCATAGCTGACATCAGAAGGATGTCTTGGCTAAAAGCAGATAATGCCAGAATGATGCTTACTTGTGTTTTATTGTCTATGCAAAGGCTTTCAACTGTAAGGAACATAGGATACTGTGTATAAAATTTCACATAACTGGCATTTCCGAACACTTACGTGTGCTTATAAGGAACTTGTACATAGACCAAGAGACTATTGTTCTAACAGAACAATCAAATACTGAATGGCTTAAAATCATAAAATGTGTGTGCAGGGGTTGTATCCTTTTACCATGCTTATTCAATCTGAAAGGAGTTCAGGTAGTGTAGTGGGTTCCAAACTGGGCTGCTAACAGCAAGGTCAGTTGTTCGATTCTACCAGGTACAAAGGTAGGAGAAAGATGATGCTTTCTACTCCTGTAAAGATGCACAGCCCTAGAACTCCTATCTAGGGTTGCTATGAATTGGAATCAACTTGGAGGCACACAACCACCACCACCACCACCATTAAATCTGAGCAAATATCCGAGAAACTGGAATATATGAAGAAGAATGTGGCATCGTGATCTGAGGAAAGCTTGTTAACAACCTGCGATATGCAGATGACAAAACCTAGCTTACTGGAAGCAATATAACTGATGAAGATGAAAGACTATGATCTTCAGTATGTTGTGCACTTCAATTTAAAGAAAACAAAAATCCTCACAACGAACAACTAGCATCATGATAAACTGAGAAAAAATTAAAGGTGCAAAAGACTTAGTTTTGCTTGGATCCACAATCAACACTCATGGAAGCAGCAATCAAGAAATCAAACAACTTACCACACTAGGAAACTCTGCTGCAAAAGTGCTTGTTACAGTGTTAAAGAGTAAAGATGTCACTTTGAAGACAAAGATGCGCCTGACCCCAGCCATGGTATTTTCAATAATGTCATATGCATGCGAAAGCTGGACAATGAATAAGGAAGACTATAGAAGAATATAAGCATTTGGATTATGCTACTGGCAAAGGATATTGAAAGTACCATGGACTGCCAGAAGAACAAACAAATCTGTCTTGATTTTTTCTGGTTGATTGTGCTAAGGAGTACATAGCTCCCTGGTGTTTATTGTTCACCTTATAGGCATGTTTATTGTTTGGCTAAAAGTTGAACCATGCAGTGACTTCAGTTTCAAGCCTGAAGGGGTGACATAGTGCCACCACCTTGAGGGCTCCACCAGTCTGATTTTTTTTCTTTTTGAGTTTTTCTCCAAATTTTATTCCTACTCTGTCCAGGAAGAATGATCTATTGTGATCCCTATTAGAGCAGTCAGCTGTGATAGCTGGTCACCATCTAGTTCTTTTGGTCTGAGGAAGCTAGGGTTCATGTGGTCGATTAATCCTTTGGACTAATTTTTTCCATGCATCTTTGATTTTTTTCATTCTTCTTTGCTCCATACAAGGAGAAAACAAAAGTTACACAAGCTTTGTAAGCCCAGTTGCTACTAATCATAGTTGGATATAGAACATTATCTTTACTGAATATATTGTGCCAATTGACCTTGATGTATCCAGAGATTATGGTTCTGATCCCTCAGGCCCAGCAACTCACTACCTCAATGTGACTCGTCATAGTTAATAAGTTTTCATGGTTTTGTTCCCTATATACTCCAATATATTCATGAATATACCAGGGGGCTTCAAAAAGTTCATGGAAAAATTCCGTTATCATTTAATTCCATTTTTCCATGTACTTTTTGAAGTCCCACACATATGTAGAAATATCCTCTGTCAAATCTATATAGACAGGACTTCAAAAAGTTCATGGAAAAGTGGAATTAAAAGACAACAGATTTTTTCCACAAACTTTTTGAAGCTCCCTTATATATGTGAGTGTAGTCCCATTTGCCTTCTCCTCCTGTTCAGCTTCCATGTCTATGTATCTACTCATATATTACTGTTATTACAGGATATGTAACAGTATTTACCTTAGTTGCCTTAACTCTTAAAACTCCTCCCAGTGTCTTATTTTGCCTTGATCATCTTGTGTTGACCTTTTTCTTATTATATATTCCAATTCATTTCACTCAAAGTATTAAGTGTCTATTTACTAACTAGTAATTCTTTCCATTGAGGATACTGTTGGATGCTGGTTTTGTATGATTGGTGGTGTGGTTACGTGCCGTGGAATTGGTTCCGACTCATAGCAACCCTGTATAGGGTTTCCGAGGCTGTAAATCTTTATGGGAGCAGAAAGCCTCATCTTTCTCCCGTGGAACAGCTGGTAGTTTCAAACTGCTGACCTTGTGGTTCTCAGCCCGATTCGTAACCACTACGCTACCAGAGTTCCTTATATGTACCCTTAATTATGTTGAGGAATTTCCCTCCTATCCCTTGTTTGCTGAACATTTTAACAAGAATGGGTGTTGGATCATGTCAAATTCCTTTTCTGCATTGACTGATATGATCATGTGGTTCTTTTCCTTTGTTTTATTTATGTGGTGGGTTACATTGATTATTTTTCTAATATTGAACCATCCTTGCATAGCTGGTATAAATCCTACTTGGTCATAACGTATTATTTTTCTTTTTTAGTGATGTCTTTGCCTGGTTTGGGCATCAGGGTTATGCTCGCTTCATAGAATGAGTTTAGGAATATTCCATCCTTTTCTCTGGTAGTGTAGTGGTTACGAATAGGGCTGCAAACCACAAGATCAGCAGTTCAAAACTACCAGCTGCTCTGCAGGAGAAAGATGAGGCTTTCTGTTCCAGTAAAGATTTTTAAAAAACCTCGGAAACCCTGTTCAGGGTCACTATGGGTCAGAACTAACTCGACGGCACTTAACAACAACTATGTTCTGAAATAGTTTTAGTAGAACTGGTGTCAGTTCTTTGCATAATGCTCTTCACCAGTGAAGTTATCTGGACCAGGACTTTTTTTCTCATGGGAGCTTTTACATTTTTATTTTTTAATAGCAAGTCCAATTTCTTCTTCTTTGATGGGCCTGTTCAAATTTCTACCTTAGATTGTATTAGTTTGGGTTGGTAGTATTTTTCTAGAAATTTGTATATATCTTGTAAGTTTTCAAATTTGTTGGAGGAAAGTTCTTCATACTTTTCTGATATGATACTTTTTATTTCAATTGGTTCTGTTGTGACATTGACTATTTCATTTCTTATTCATGTTATTTGTACTTTTGCGACTTGACGTTCTAGGGTTTATCTGACCATTTATGTAGTATTAAGCCTGGGGCTTCTTATACTTTGGTTAAAAAAAAAATCTGCTTACTCAACCAACCAATCTATATATTATCAGTTGAAAACTATATATAAAAGTAAGAAAAAATCTTCATATAAATGCCTTTTAAAATAAAATTCAATTTAAAAAAATAATTTTTATTGAAATAATAAATTATAGTAAATGATGTTTATTATAACATAAAAGTTACATTGATTTATTTTTTTAAATCAGATTGTTGTTTTTGTTATTAAGTGCCATCATGTCCAAGCCATAGCAACCCTGTGTAGGCTGGTGAGTTTGAGCTGCTGACCTTGCAGTTCAAACCAACATTGTCTTTAATTCTCACCCTACAGAGCCATACCAGGATTCCTTATACAGCATTTGTTGTTGTTGTTCAGTGCCATTGGGTCAGTTCCAACTCACAGCGACACTGTATAGGGTTTCCTAGGAGCTCTGGTAGTGTAGTGGTTACGAATCGGGCTGCGAACCTTAAGGTCAGCGGTTCGAAACTACCAGCCGCTCCACGGGAGAAAGATCAGGCTTTCTACTCCCGTAAAGATTTACACCCTCAGAAACCCTGTACAGGGTCGCTATGGGTCGAACCGACTCGACGGCACTTAACAACAACAACAACAACAGGAGCAGCTGGTGGGTTTGAACTGCTGACCTTGTGGTTCACAATCCAGTGCTGATTCACAGTGCCACACCAGAAGCCCTTGTTGTTGTTGTTGTTAAGTGCTGTTGAGTCAGTTCTGACCCATAGCAATCCTGTATAGGGTTTCTGAGGAGCGGCTGGTGAGCTTGAACCACCGACCTTGCAGTTCAAACCGGCTTTGGAATCTAACACATTAACGTACCACGCCACACCAGGACTCCTTGTATGGCACATTGATAAAAGACGACTCCTGGCATTCCATTGTACTTTTCTAAGCAGTTAAGAGGCATTTTGCTGCAGCTTTGCCATACATAGTGACTAGTTCATTTTTCAAGTAGCAAAAATCAAAGAAGAGAAAAACGACAGATGCACCTTGATTTTGTATCTGTTTTGTACATTATTGCTTTACTGGTAGACTCTAAGACTTGAAGAAAATTCAGATGCACTAATGTTTTAAAAAATGCTACTGAACATTTCAGTAGAGATATGATAAAAAAAAAACAAAAACAAAAAAACCACTGTTTTTAAGATAAAGTAAGCATTTAAAAATAGAAGTGACATGCAGATTTTAACAAATTTCAATGTCTTTATTTTTACAGTAAAACCTGCCATACCATGAATGAGGCAGAAACCTGTCAGAGAAGGAAAAATCTAACATTTTCCACTAAATAGAAAGTGATAGAAAAATGATGACTGTACTCTGTCAAAGGTGAAAAACTTGTGAGACCAGGACAAACAAGTAGTCTTGTTGAGTTTCATCTTTCACAGGTTTCACTGTATATCCAAATTTATTAATTTAGAGAAGTAGATAACAGAACATCTAAATTATTCAGAATCAAACACATTGAGACATCTCTATAATTATATATTCAACAAGATATTGACATTGAGAAGGCAATTGTACTATATGCCTACTTTGGTTAATTTTAAGTTCTAAATTGAATTCATGCATTAAATATTACATATTAATATCATTTCTTACCTTTTTAATCTTAATCTTTTTCTTTTTCTTTGGTTTACTACTAACCTGAAAAGAAATAAATGGTTTATTTAATATATAGTTCAAGCTGTATAATGGGCTATTTAAGAAAATACACAAATATTTCTTCTAACCACTGAGACCTTTAACTTCTAATATTCTAGATCACATTTTCTTTCTGTGTTCTATAGAAATACTTATTTTTACTTGAATTATTTTCATTTTGATCTCAGTCTTCTGCGCTTGAGCTGTCACTGCTGTGTGCCTGCTGACAGAACGCTCACAGCTCTTGACTTGTACACATGCACATGTACTCATATATATCTTTATAAGATGAATAATTAAGTCTAAAAAGAAGTTGCTGTTATGTGCCGTGGAGTCGGTTCCAACTCATAGCAACCCTCTACAGGGTGTCCAGGGCTGTAAATCTTTATGGGAGTAGAAAGCCTTATCTTTCTTCCACGGAACAGCTGGTTGTTTTGAACTGCTGACCTAGCGGTTCACAGCCCGATTTGTAACGACTACACTACCAGAAACAATATAATAATAATTACCACTTTCCTGTAAAGAAATATTGAGATCCACTCATGGTGCTCTTCATTATTTTCTGAACTAATTATGTTGAAATTATCTTAGTTTCCACCCCTCTTCTCTCTCTTCCTCTGTCTTCTACTCCTTCCTCTGTCGTCCTCTATTATCCTCCCATACCCACTCTCCTGACTCAGAAAGACAAAATGTGTTCAGAAATCTAACAATAAATAGTACCTAGAATATAATAAGTGTTCAAGGAACACTGGTTAAATAAATGGTTACAGCAACAGAGATTATGGAAGTACAATGGAAAGAACCATTCCAATTCAAGTTCTGCGTGAACAGTATGGTAAATGTAAACTGAGATTGTTTAGAATGCTTTAAAACAGTACATGCAACAATATAAAGGCCTTAATTAAGTTTTTCTAATTCAAATATTAATGAAAGTTTTATACTTCCTGGAGATCTTTAGTAGATTCTGTTGAAGATTCACTGGGTATTGATGCCACATCTTTATTCATTTCTACTAATTGTACATCACAGTCTGAATTCAGATTTATATTGTACTCCATGAGAGGTGGTCTCAGTTTTTCATCCTCATTCCGTAACTCTTCTATTTCAATACCTAAATATGGAAGACAAACCACTCAATTTGCATGTAAGCAATTTCAGCCTCTTATCGTTATTATAAATATGTTTGTCTGCCAAGAAACACTATCCCAGATATAAAAAAGAACTCATCTTAATCTGTTCAATTACTATATAAAAATGCAATGCTAATTTGTTAATGATTAAATAAGAGGTATATATACTAGCCTGGGACCAATCAGTATGACCCTGAATGCTAAGATAGCTTACTGGTATCATAAGAACACAGGAATTAAAATAGACTCTAAGTACTTTTTTTTTAGTGTCTTGATATTGACCCTATTAATATCGTAGCTAGTATAATTTTGGAGAATAAATCTAAAACATAAAGAGAAGAAAGAAAAGATAAAAGATCTGTGTAATCACCACCCCTTCCCCCACTCACCACCATTTTTCTTCTTTTTTTACAACCAAAGGTTATGAAAGGTAATCAGGTCCCTACAATGTGACTTCATCTTTAACACCATGTTCTTTAATGCTATCCCAGAAACACAGGACTCCAAATTTGAGGACAACATCTAATTGTCACAGATGAGCCAAAATATAATGCCATACAAAAAAATCCAATATTATTTTCTTACGTGTAATTTTAATTGTATAATATGAACTACATTCTTAAAAATATAAGCACACAAAAACAGAAATTTTAAATAAAACTAGTTTACTACCTGCCAGAAAAAAACCATACAGGCATAGCAATGGTTAGATAAACAGATAAAGCTACACAAGCAAAACAGTAGCATATATGAGCAGATAGAACAAGTAGATAGATTTTGTCTACTGAAATGTCCTGTGGGTCCAAAGGTTTAAACACTATCCTTGGGTAACCCATATATTAAGAAGGCAGAGTTATGTTCATACTAGGTTTAGCTGAAAAGTAGTAATTTGATCACATGATTTTTCAAGCTTTTAACAGTTACAGTTTAACATACAATTTCTCTTACAAAGCAAAAATCCCATAGGTTCCCTTAGACATATCAAGTTAAGAGATCATCATGGAATTCTGTTTTTAAACATACTTACATTGACATCCTGTTATTGACTGAAGAGCAATTCCTATGGAACATAAAGAAAACATTTAGATGTATAATTGCAAATACAACCATCAAATATCTGACTGGGACTAATAAAAGTCAGAATTTTATACTGCATCAATTTTAATTGTGAAAATAACCAACTTCATTCCTCAAATCAGTTTAGACAGACACAATCTTGAAATTGTAATACAAAGATTATACAACCATGATTAGAAAAAGAAAAATAAACAAAATTTTAGGGTTATAATAGGTAATGTCTAGTATATAAGCACTTTTAACTAAGCAGCAAATTCTTACTAGTTAAAAAGTTAAGGTCATTAAACAATAACAGTTAGTTATCAAACAAAATCCCATTTACAGTTTGAGTCTTCTTATCCTCATTGCTCCTCCCCTCTTTGTCCACTAATATTTATTGAGCATATACTGTGTTAAACTCTACATATTAAATGGTGAAGAAAGAACATATAGTCTCTGCCTTCATGGAGACTGGATCCCTGGCATGGCACTGTTAGGATTCGCAATGGACGGTGAACAAGGTTGGAGGTTCAAACCCACCAGCTGCTTTTCAGAAACCCGATACAGGGTCACTATGAGTAAGAACTGATGCAAAGGCACTTAACAACAACATCATGGAGATTTAGTGGAGACAATGGATATTAATAAAATAATTGGATACACAAATGAAAACTGCAATGGTAATAACTACTCTGAAAGTTGATTCTGACTCACGAAGAATATGTAAAATACTTAGAAAGTCTCAAACACCTTCATTCTCCTAAGTAGTTTTGTTAAATTTTAACCGTAAATGAAAACAAACCAACCAACCAAAAAACCTAACCACAAAATCTCTAATAATCTCATATAATTTATGTCAAGTATTTTTGTCTGACTTTCCTAGGTCATCAAACTCAAATTCTTTCCTTTTATGCTCAAAGAAAGCACAAAGGTATCCTAGAGTTTTAGTAAAAAGACTGAGAATGGAGCCTAGTAATTGGCACTGAAGAAAATGAGGACGAGTTCCACAACTACTCAAAACCTACAAGGTTGTAAGGTTAAATAACATCAGTGTAACCATTAGTTGTTCATTTCATAAAATGAATAATAAAAACTTGGGAGCAGGAAAAATAACCTAAAACATAGCACATAAAAGGTTTTAGTGCCCTGAACTCCACGTTCCATCTTGAGGGAACACAAGCTCACCCCAGATGTGGGAGAGGAGTTCTGATGTATTTCCTATATCAATAGACAATATCTGGGATTAGCCACTACTGCAATCAGACACTTGCACACATGTTAACTTATTTTCTTTAAATTATTCACAGTCAATGGACAGACAAAATTCTAAGCAAACCTCAAGCATTTTGATAAAAAGGAGGGGAACATATACCTAATGTACCTAAAAGAACAGTCTGGAAACACACATGGCACTTGTATTTAGTCATCCTTCATTTTGGAGAAGCAACTAGAAGAAACAAAGAAGAAAAAGAGCTGAACAGAAAATTTTAAAGGGCAGCTTGAATAGACAATGCCAAGTATTATAATAAAACATGCAAAGATCTGGAGTTAGAAAACCATTAGGAAAGAATGCACTCATCACTTCTCAAGCTGAATGAATTGAAGAAAAAGTCAAGCCTCAATTTGCAAAATTGAAGGAATTTACGGACAAAATACTAAAGGATGCAGGATGCATCAAAAGAATATAGAAGGAAGCAGAATAATTGTTGTTACAGGGAGGAGAGAGTAATCATTGAGATGAAACAAAATGTATTAGTTGAAAGTAAGCTGATGATCCTGTCTGTTTACTTTCACTTAATTCACAATAAAAAGTTTAAAAGAAAAAAAGAAGAAAATGGAAGAAATATACAGAGTCACTGGACCAAAATTAATTGGTTGATATTCAACCATTTCAAAAAGTAGCATATAATCAAGAATCAATGGTACTGAAGGAAGAAGTCCAAGCTGCATTGAAGGCATTAGTGAAAAATAAAGTTCCAGGAACTGACAGATATAAATAGAAATGTTTCAACAAACTGATGCACCACTGGAGGCCTCACTCATTTATATCAAGAAATTTGGAATCCAATTACCTGATCGATCAATTGGAAGAAATCCATATTTGTGTCCATTGCAAAGAAAGGTGATCCAGTAGCAAGCACAAATACCAAACAATGTAATTAATATCACATGCTATTAATAATTTGCTGAAGATAATTCAAAAACAGTTGCAGCAGTACATCAATAAGGAATTGCCAGAAATTCAAGGTGAATTAGAAGAAGATGTGGAATAAAATATATCATTGCTGACATCAGGTAGATCTTGACTAAAAGCAGAGTATATCAGAAAGATGTATATTTGTGCCTTATTGTGTTTGTTATATATGGAACATAACAAACTATACATAACATTTAGAAGAATGGGTTTTTCTAGAACACTTGATTGTGCTCATGGAGAACCTATATATAGACCAAAAGACTGTTGTTAAAACAGAACAAAGGGATACTGAATGATTTAAAATTACGAAAGGTATATACCAGGTATATATTTTCACCATACTTATTCACTCTGTATGTTGAGCAAATGATCCAAGAAACTGACTTATATGAAAAAGAACATGGCATCAGGATTGGAGGAAGATACGTTAACAACCTGTGATATACAGATGATACAACCTTAGTTGCTGGAAGAAAATAAGACTTAAATTATTTATTAATGAAGATTAAAGACTACAGTCTTCAGTATGAATTGCACATCAGTGGAAAGGGGAAAAAAAAAAAATCCTCACAACTGGACCAATAAATAACATGATAAAAAATAAAAAAGATTGAAGTTGTCGAATACTTCATTTTCTTTAGATTCATAATTAGTACTCATGGAAGCACCAATCTGTAAATCAGACAATGCATTATATTAGACAAATCTGCTACAAAAGATTTCTTTAAAGTGCTAAAGAGCAAAGATGTCAGTTTGAGGACTAAGGTGCTCCTGACCCAAGCCAGGACATTTTCTATTGGATCATATGCTTGTAAAAATTTGACACTTAATGAGGAAGACTGCATAAGAATCTATGCATTTGAATTATGGTTATGGTAAAGAATATTAAAGTATCATGGACTACCAGAAGAACAAACAAATCTCTGTATTGGAAGAAGTGCAGCAGAACACTCCTTAGAAGTAAACCTGGTGAGATTTTGTCTCTGTTGCTTTGGACATGCTGTTAGGAGTGACCAATCCCTGGAGAAGGATATCATGCTTGGTAAAGTGGAGAGTCAATTAAAAAGAGGAAGACCTCCAGAGAGATGGATTGACAGAGTAGCAGCAACAATAGGCTCAAATATACCAACAATAGTAAGGATGGCACAGGATTGGAAAGTGTTACATTCTATTGTGCGTAGGGTCGCTATGAGTTGGAACCAACTCAATGGCACCTAACAGCAATAGCAACATACTTATTATTAGCTTCTCAAGATACCCATTATCCTAAGATGTGAACTCACTGAATTCCCTGCTCTTAGCACAGTGCTTAGCACCTACCTAGTAAATACCGAAAACAGGTTTATTGGCTGAGTTTTAAAAAAATAAAAAATAAAATTGTACCTTGTTGATAGCAGGATAACATCCTCTGAATGATTTCTGGCACAGGTATGCCTAGGTAGATGGACAACTGATGATAATCAAGGGAGATATTCTCAATGGGATTCTCTTTCACTTTGTCAATATCCTCTTGCTTCATCCCAAGGCGCAAAAGAATATCTGAAACTTTTTTCCAAATTGAGTTGAACTGTGATTCAGTGAGACCATTCATCAAAATCTCACTAAGGAGGGTATCTCTGTATTTGCACAGCCTCAGGATGTCTGCAGACTTAGAGAGATCAGAAGATGGTGGTTCTACATTCCAGCCTTTTTGGGGTTCAGGGAATATGTTCAAATGTTTTATGAGAGCTAACAGGAGGTATAAATCAAACTGTTTAGATTGTGGCAGCTCCTTGTTTGGGGGATAAAGCAGATGCCATGCTCCACCCAAAGGATGATTGGTCCAAAGATGGTTGTAGTATGGTTCCAGCACATTCTTGTGTATAAGAAGTTCTTTTTTCAAAAGAGATGGTGGCATAGCCTCATCAAATATTTGCCGGACAATGTCAGTACCAGAAATTATAATTATATGAAGTAGATGATAGAAATAGGTGTAATCAAGTTTGAAGATGGGCATTTCATCTGAAAATGAACAGTGAAAAGTCAAAATATTACAAATTAATTCTCTTTCCTTTCATGTGGTTTCTCTCATTACACCCTGATAGGAACTATTCCAAAAGAGTGAAGTACATTCAAGAATGTGTTCTTTACTACAGCCAAATCACAATAAAGCCACTACTGTCTGGCTTTTTGCCAAAAATACAAATAAAAGCAGCATGTTTCCAAACAAAACTAATCACAAAGGCTAATTATTACAGGACCCTTTCAGTCATACAAGATTTGTTGACATCAATGAGCTCTAACAACCAAATAGCATCAAAGTTGTAGGCTTTTGAAAATTCTTAAGTTTGCCAAGAATGGTAACCACTGGTGTTTAATGACAATTATACTTTATTCTAATCAATACTGTCCAACAAAACTTTCTATGATTTTTACTGGCACTGTCCACTAGCCATTTAGCACAAGATATGTTGTTTGTTTGATGAGGAATTCAAGTTATAATTGTATTTACTTTTAATTAATTAAAATTTAAACGACCACATATGGCTTAGTGACTGTCTCATTAGACAGTGCAGATCTACATCAAGGGGAAAAAATCTAATGCTTTTTTATTTAAAATGTAGCTCATGGACCATATATGAGCCTGCTGGAAATGTAAAATCTCAAGCTTTACCACAGACCTAATGAACTGGCATGTGAATTACAATGAAACCAGAAGATTATTCACATGCATATTAAAGTTTGAGAAGCAGTGCTCTAATGAACTTATTCTTACCCCTTCAAAAAATTAAATAGCTATTTCATGAAAACAATAACAACAACAACAAAAACAAAAACACTGGAATAAGGCATGAGACTGAAATACTGGTATTTTCCTGGTTTAACAGTATCTCCAAAGAAATGAAGACTGAGGTAAACTATAAAGTAGGTGAAAATTGGTCTTTGATGTTATTTTTTATGAGAAAATATCAAATTTTGATTATCACAAAAAAAACAACTTCATATTATCTTTCATGCTATGTTGCAATAAATTTTTTAATTAGTACTTTACTTGATGTATGTGGCATAGACTGTGGAAACAAGCAAATGACTCAGGAAGCTTTCTCTGGATTGACAGGTAAGAAGCTTGCTGAGATGAGGGACTTCCATTTCCCCTAGCAAGAAGTGTTGCCCCAAACTATCCTTAAATGGAGTTAGTCACCTCAAGGGCCCCCAAGCATTAGGCAGATAGCATTTCTTAGTATACCTAAAGAGATGGCACCTGAGATGAGACTAGTTGGCACTCAAATAATAATGTTCATGCCTTCCATGTAAGGCCTCTCTAACGCTGGTCCTATTAAAAAGAACATAGCAAGAGAGGAAGGGGTTGGTAGGTATGGAACCTCTGTAAAGCCCAATCTCACTATTAATCACAGCTATGCACTGGTCATCCTCTCTGTAAGGATTCCAACTCATTGTGAGACTGAACACCTGCCGACCTTTCTGTCCGTGAGGTCCAGCCTGTCCCAAGTGCTGCTTGCTCATTTTAAGCCAAGTCCAGGGTAAATAAAGACACAGTTGTTAATGGCATTATACTTTACAGAGAAAGTCACAAATGTTAATGCAGTTTTTAATAGGAGACATATAAAAATAAAATAATACCTTTTGTACTAAAATTTAAACTGATCTTCGGTCTCATATCAGTATCACTTCTTTTCTGAGACATAAAATTTTTATAACTGCAAGAAAAAAAGTTAAGTTACAGTCAAAACAACCAAGATAAGTCAAGATTTCTGGCATCGGCCTGGCTAATAAGTAAATTAGCATTTTCTGTTCTATCCCCAAGTTATTACATGAAATAAGTCAAAAGTAAAGGGAGAAAAAGCAGACAAATAAAAACTACCAATAATAAAATCCTATATTGTTTTCACTAGAATTAAGAAGCTGGTATCATCGCTAGTGGAGTCTGGAGGCACTCAACTACTAGCTGAAAGGTTAACAATTTGAACCTCCCCAGAGGTACTTCCGAAGAAAAGCCTGATATTCTGCTTCTGAAAGGTCACAGTTTGAAAACCCTATGGGCAGTTCGATTTTGCAACACATGGGGTGGCCATGAGTCAGAATCAACTTAGTTTGGTTTGGCTTTATAATTGTTGTATTACACACAAAGTCCAAGGCTAATGCAACAACTAAGATGGAGCTGATACAGACATAAGAAGGATAAAGACACAAGAAGCCAGAGAAAGAAGGATACGGACACAAGAAGCCATGGTAAGAAGTCTCAGTAATAGAAGAGTCTGGAAGCATCAGATCTTAAAAAGTGAAGGTAACAGGCATAGGATTACAGATGAACTAAGCTGGTAGTGGAAGCACCAGGAAAAACAAACAAGACAGATTTGCAAAAAAGAATTACACAAGTAGATAGCTTCCTAGGAAGTCCACATGATAACAAAAGAAAAAGAGAAAGAAACCTGTACATTATATTGTTGTTGTTAAGTGCCATCAAGTTAATTCCGACTGTATAAGGTTTCCAAGGAACAGCTGGTGGGTTTAAATTGCCACCTTTTGGTGCAAATTGACCTTGGAATCCAGTGCTTATCCTACACCAGCAAACCTGAAACTCATTTCCCTTCACCATCACAAAATTTCCTTGCCAGTGGTTATAGTAGTTGTTCCAAAAAAATAAAGTAAAACCAAACTTATTCAATGACTAGTGATTAAAAAGAAGAAGGAATAAAACAAAAAACAAGCATAACACCCAAATGCAAAAATTAAATTGGGAAAAGGTTAAAGAAAAACATAGCAAAATTTACTAAATAGACTTAGTGCCATATGTTATTATAAAACAGATGAAAAGACTAAATATGTGGATTCACTTTGAAACTCCCACTAAACACAGGAGCCAAAGAATAACAACACTAGAATGCAAGTTTAAGAAGCATAGATAACTGGCCTTTTTTACTGTTGTTGTTGACTGAGTTTATCTCCAGTACCACTATAAAAACATTGCCAACCATCTAATACACTGGAAAAAATTTAAAATGGCAACAATGTAATGATTTGGCAGACATACTGAGTAAAAGGAATTCTATTATACTGTTTCTGAGAGCATGTTGCTATTAAATGCTGTCCAGTTGGTTCTGACTCATAGCTACTCTGCATAGGGTTGCAGAGGCTGTAAATCTTTTCTGGAACAGAAAGCCTCATCTTCCTCCTGCAGGTTAGCTGGTAGGCTCAAACCACCAACCTTGTGGCTCACCGTCCAGTGCTTATCCTACAGAAAAATTAATTTTTAAAAGAGTAAATTTCCAAATAATGATCAAAGTATCTGCCTTAAGCAAACAGATGAGCAAATTAAACCAAAACTAGCAGAATGAAGCAAAAACTAAAGTTAAACTAAAAAAATCAATGAAATTAAAAGTCAATTCTTGTAAAGTATCCATAAAACAGATAGGTCTTTAATCATTTTCATCAAGAAAAAAAAGGAAAGACAATAATTTTCAACATTACAATGAAGGTACCATCATCACAGATCCTACAGATATTCAAGACTAAATATGGGAATGTTATGAATAACTTTAGGCCAATACTGTGGTGATGTGGATGAAATTGACAAATTCCTTGAAAAACATGAACTACCAAACTCACTAAAAGGAATGTTGTTGTTGTTTGTTATTGTTAAGTGCCATCGAGTAGACTCTGACCCATAGTGACCCTAAATAGGGTTTCCGAGGAGTAGCTGCTGAGCTTGAACCACCAACCTTACAGTTCAAATGGCTTTACAGTCTGACGCATTAACCCACAGCGCCATATAGGTAACCTTAAATGTCATATTTCTTTAAAAAATTGAATTTATATTAAAAATTTTTTAATTAAAGAAAAAAATAAGAAAACTTCTTTTCCAGATTGCTTCTCTGGTAAATTTTGCCAAATAGTTATAAAATACAAAGTAACAATTTTCAAAAACTCTTTCAGAAAATAGGAGACCTGTAAACATACCCAAATTCATTTTAAAAGACCAACGTTACCTTGATTCTAAGAGAGATAAAGACATTAAAAATAAAACTGCAAAACAAAGTCTTTAGAAACCTAGTACCGAAATACTTTGAAAATATTAACAAATTGAATCCAGAAAAACATAAATAAAAAGATATATCATGACCAAGTGGCATTTATAGTAGGGAAGCTAGTTAGATTCAGCATTTGAAAATCCATTGGAGTAATTTAGTATATTAACAGGTTTGTTTTGGTTTTTTAAAGAAGAAAAACCATGTTCATCTCATAGAAAGAGCGTGAACTCACAACTCATTCAAGATTAATTTTTTTTAGATACTAGAAATAGAAGAGAATATCCTCAAACTTACAAAGAGCAGCTATAAATAGTTTTATGTGCTTAATTATGTTAAGAATATATATAATGGTGAAAAACTGAAAGCCTCTCCCTAAAATCAGGAAATACTCTCATTACTTTGATTCAACATTATACTAGGGCTTAGCCAATGCAATGAATAAAGAAAAATAAACAAAAGGTATTGTTGTTGTTAGGTGCCATCGAGTTGTACCAACCCATAGTGACCTTATGCACAGCAGAACGAAACACTGCCCAATCCTGGGCCAACATCACTACTGTTACCATGCTTGAGTCCATCGATGTTGCCCCGTGGCCAATCCATCTCGTTGGGGGTCTTCCTCTTTTTCTCTGACCCTCTACCTTACCAAACATGATATCCTTCTCCAGAGACTGGTCCCTCCTGACAATATGTAGAAAGTATGAGAGACGAAGTTTGGCCATCTTGGCCTCCAAGGAGCACTCTGGCTGCACTTCTTCCAAAATGGGTCTATTCGTTCTTTAGGGAGCCCATGGCACTTTCAATATTCTCCTCCAACACAAAAACTCAAAAGCATCAATTCTTCTATGGTCTTCCTTATTCACTGTCCAGCTTTCACATGCATATGAGGTTATTGAAAATACTATGGCTTGGGTCAGGCGCACCTTAGTCCTCAAGCTGACATCTTTGCTCTTCAACACTTTAAAAAGGTCTTGTGCAACAAATTTGCCTAATGCAATACGTCATTTGATTCCTTGACTGCTTCAGTGAGTGTTGATAGCTGATCAAAGAAGAATGAAGTCCTTGACAACTTCAATCTTTTCTCCATTGATAAGAATGTTGTTATTGAGGTCAGAAAAGAAAAATTTTAATTATACTTATTCAAGAATGACATAATCATAGATGCGGAAAACACCAAAGAATCTAAAAAATGATATATAAAGTAATGTGCAAATTTTACAACTGGTAAGATACAATGCAAATATATACAGATCAGTTTAAATTTTAACAACTACAAATAATCAGGGAGCAATTAAATTCATAAAAACATTTATAATAATATTAATAAATCAAATACTCATAGATGAATTCAACAAACTATGCATAAGATTATACACAGAAAACTATAAAATATCCTCAAGAGATATCAAAGAAGATATGTAGTTATATACCACGTCCATATGGAGCTCTGGTAGCGTAGTGGTTACGAGTTGTGCTGCTAACCTCAAGGTCAGCAGTTCAAAACTATCAGCTGTTCCGCAGGAGAAAGATGAGGCTTTCTGCTCCTATAAAGATTTAAAGCCTCAAAAATCCTACAAGGGGTCTCTATGAGATGGAACTGACTCCATGGCAAATAACCACCACCACTTCCACTACCACCACCACGCCCACAGATGGAAAATCTCAATACTTTTCAGATGTAAATCACCCCCAAAATGATCTATAGATTCATTAATATACCAATCAAAATTCCAGCAAGAATTTTTGTAGAAATTAAAACAGTATTTCAAAATTTATTCTGGAAAACAAAAGCCCTAGAATGGAAAAATCAATATTGAAAAATAGTAACAAACTGGGAGAATTCCTATAAGCTAATTTGAGTAACATTCATGATAATGTGGCACTCATGCAAGGACAAACATAGAGATCAATGGAACATAAAATAAATTTCTGCATATATTTGGTCAGTTGATTTTAAACAAAGGTAGCAAGGCAACTTAATTGGAGAAAGGACTGTCTTTTAAGGAAGAGTAATAGGACATCTAGGAATCCATATGGGACAAAATGAACTTTGACCCTTACTCCATACTATACATAAAAATTAGCTCAAAAGCTTATAAATTTAAATATAAAACCTAAAGCTTATAGAGAAAATATGAGAAAAATCTTTGTGACTTAGGTTACTAAGCATTTTTTCAAACAGGACGATTAAAACTAATTATTTCTGATTTTGGGAAAATACTATGCAAAAAATTAAAAGACAGTCTCAGAATAGGATACAATATTTCCAAAATATATCTCTGGTAAAGGTCTTACATCTAGAACATATGAAAAACAATTACAACTCAAAATATTAAGACAACCCAAAAAGAAGAATATGTAAAATATTTAAACAGATGATTCACCCAAAAAACATATACATATGGGAAATAAACATACATAAATACATTAAATGTCATTTGTCAAAAGGAAATAAAACTACAATGGAATAACATTGCATACCAACTAGTATGGCTACACTTTAAAAAAAAAAAAGGACAATACCAAGTGCTAGAGAAGATGTAGGGAAAACTATAGCATGAATGATAAAAATGAAAAACCACACAACTACTTTGTGAAACAGTTTGGCAGTTTCCTAAAAAATTAAGAATTTTTTAATGAATACTTACCACATAGCCCAGTAATCCTACTCCTAGGAACTTACCCAAGAGAGATGTAAACATATATCCATACAAAAACTTATACATGGAGAGACTTCTGGTTTGGGGGCAGGATAAGTGGAGACAAACAGAGGAGGCTCCTCAGCAGAGGCATGGAAGAACCAGAGAAAGCACTTTGCTGGGACAGTCCTGGAGCTTTAGATCTAATATAAAGTAAGGGAAAATAGTTTCGGGTGCCCACACATGGAGAAATCTGACTGTGGCCAGGAGAAACACAATTTCTGAATCATTTGGGATGCTGCTGCATGTGGCCGGCAGTCTTGGTGGAGATCAGAGTGTGGGGCCAGACAGATACAGTATGAAAGCCACCTAGCAACTTGTGGAAAAATAGGTGTGCCATTTATTTTTTTTTCCTCCTCTCCCCTGTGCACCATTCCTGCCCAGCCTGGGTGTCTTCGTGCAGATGGGAGGAGCACACCCCCAAAAGGGTCCAGCATTGCACCCACAGGGTACAATTTTCTCATGGCACAAAGAGGAAATTGCTGAAAGTCCATCAGTTACAGAGGCTAATCCTTAGGTGGCTTCTTATGACATCTGACTCTGGAATTTAGCCCTAAAGTTGACTCTCCTAATTGGGTGGGACCCTTTATTCCTGCCTTATCTAACAAGAGACAGCAGGTCTGCCCATACAACCAAACCTTATTTACACACTGTAAAATCCCAACATAAAAGGCTAACGCCAACACCAATTACTAAATACAAGGATGCAGTCATTTTGAGAATTACACTGTGCATACGCAGATACCTAACTCATCTTCAGAGATAAAATTGTGAACAATCTTTCTTCCATTCATTTCTCAGTCTCTGTCTGTGCATCTCCATGGTGGTGACTAGAGGGGGTGCCTGAGCGAGTGGACACCTTTACCCACATGTGGAGGTTTCTACTATACACACACACTGACCTGCACAGCAAAGAACTAGTCTGCTATGGTTTTGATTCTTTTTTTGTTTCTTGCTTGTTTTTGTTTTTGCTTTTAACTTTTGTTTCTGTTTTTTGTACTTTTGGTCTTACATTTTTCCTGGGGGTAGGAATGTTACCCAAGAAGAGACAGCAATTGTGGTCATATAGCCAAGCTACAAGCATATGCTATAATATCCCACCATCTGGACAGAAGCCAATACTCGCTGCTACACATAACATAGATAGCCAACACTTGCTAAGACTACTCATAGTTGAGTAATAATAGACATGAAAAGGGAAGCCTATCTCCAGATCACATCCAACAGGAGACACACAGTAAGCTTAATAATACAGCAACATACATTCGTTTAATCACTGAAAACACATCTAAGTATTGAAAATGTCCAAGAAAAAAACAACAAAATATCTCAGCACATGTCCAGAAAAAGAAAACAGTACCTGAGACAAATGAATTGGAGGTAAGCATAGACTCCCCACTAGAAGGAAAGCAGGCTTTGGATCTCCCTGAGAAGGAATTCAGAAGAATGGTAGGTACTGAGATACATCCAAAGGCTTCACAGAGGTGTGGAGGAAAATAAGGAAGAAGTCAGGAAAGGGCTACAGAAGCACTCAAACAAGATAGATACAGCGTTGGAAACCATTCAAAACTTGCAAAAAGAGGTCCAAATGATTAATAATAAAAATATTGGAAGTGGACAATACACTGAAAGGGCAAAGGAGTAGAAATGAAGAGATGGAAGCCAGAATCAGTGAGCTGGAAGACAAAT